ATGTGTGTGTATGTGTGTGTGTGTGTGTGTGTATGTGTGTGTGTGTTTGTGTGAGTGTGTGTGTGTGAGTGTGTGCGCGCTGTGTGCATGTATGTGTATGTGTGGTGTATGTGTGTGTGTGTGCGAGCGTTATATGTGTGAGTGAGTGTGTGTGTGTGTGTGTGTGTGTGTGTGTGTGTGTGTGTTTGTTTATTTGAGGTGTGAGTGTGCGCACGTGTGTGCATGCGTGTGTGTATGAGTCTGTATATGCACATCTGCGCGTATTTGAGTGCGTGTGTGCGTAAAAAGAGTACTTGTGTGTAAGGTTGTTGATAATGATATGATGATAATGATGATAATGGTGATGACGACGATGATGATGATGATAATGATGATGATGATGATGATGATGATGATGATGATGATGATGATGATGATGATGATGATGATGATAATGATGATGATGTACCTGCTTTCCTATGAAGTATTTTTTTCTCTTTTTCTGTCCTTTACCGCACCAGGAGCAGATGTCACGTACAAAGTCTCTTCTTGAACCCACCGCTCGTTCTAAGGAAAAGATCAAACGCTCACACAGCACAGGACCATACCTAGTACGCCAGGAGACACAGTTTGACGAGACATGCATGGCACCGCCCCCAGACACGCCCCCTGGAGAGTTCTCCTCCGACCACCGAGTGACCATCAACGACTTCGATCATATCTACCCGAACGTTATTGTCCACGCCCCACACGACCACGACTTCCACGGTGGTGACGCGGCTAGTAAGGTGATGAAGTCTTCTGAATTACGTCACCACCAACGTCTGCAGCCAAGGCAATTCGTGGATGCGTCTGGCGCGAGGATCATAGAGGTGAACATGGATGGTGATAGCGAGGGCACTGATATTACAGCGCTTAGAGTAGCCAGCGTGGATGCAGCTTCTCTGACGCACGTGCGATTAGATGAAGGACTGGACGAGTCACCCACTCATCTTCCTTCTTTCAGCAGGTCGGGCACAAACTCAAGTCCTTCTCACGATCCTTCGAACAGGCAATCTCAAACTAACGACATTGAGTATGCGTTTGATCATCATAAGATGGAGGATGGCAGTGCGTATTATAGTTTGGATCGAGGCAGCCAGCGTGCTTTGAGAGAGAAGGAGAAATTAATCCTCTACGAGGAGGTACTGCATCACTGGAAGGAGAGAGCGAGGCAGAGGTACAAGATGGCACGTCTTGCTTCTCAGCAAGTCGAGTTCCCATCCTCGCGAGGGAAAGAACGGTACAACCGGCGTCACCCCAGTCGTTCGACACCGTGTGAGTACCACCGGCACGACACCTATCTCCACCCTCTACGACGCACGAAAACTGTCGACGAAGACCCGGTCTATTTCAGTGACGTCAATCGACGTAGGGAGAGATTCTCTGGAAAGCCAGGAAGAATGTTCTCGAGCTACGAAGAGCTCAATCACCACCACTCACACTCGCGTTGTGTGCATGGTCGACGTCGGGAAAGTCCGTTTTCGTCGTGTGAATGTCCGGCTTGTGCACTTTGTACTTCGGGGTCCATAACCAGCGAAATCAGCTGTATGTCCAAAAGAAGCTCCCACGATCGTTCAGACAGATACAAGAGTGGGAAAGAGAAAGTTGACAGGGAAAGATTAGATAAGGATAGGTCGGAGAGAGACAGGATTGAAAGAGAAAGGAGTTCGAAGAGGAGACAAAAACGGGAGGCACAGAAGCAGAGAGCGACGCCTGCCAGTTCTGACATCATCAAAGGCACCAATAGACCTCGCCAAGAAGCCTCCAACCGTAACCGTCGCAAGCGTGTCAGACATTCCTCTTCAAAATCTTCTCGCAGCTTCACCCTCACCCTGGGATCCAGTACAGACAGCGATATGTTGCGTCGCACGTCAATGGCCACACCCCTTCCCCACACCCTAAAGTACTCGTTAGACTCCGCCCCTCTAGGCAATTCTAACAATAGAACCGCTCCCCTAGAAGTCACACCCACTCCTTTGGTCGTCCGTCCTCGGTCTCCGCCTCAAATACACGTCACTCAGGTCACCTCCCCTGAGGTCACGGAGAAAGACGTTTTCCAGCAAGTGTTTACACAGGAGGTTGAGCTAGACGACTTTTCTCCTGTTGAGGAGGACGAGGACCCGAACCTGCTCCTTCAACGCCGACTTAGTCCTCGGGAGACTTTTCTAATCTCTGTTGATATTCCCGACCTCCAAACCAGCAATACAGATCCTGTCCCTTCTCCCGTCCACAATCTAGCCTTGACTGACAGCTCGATAAACCGGAACCAATTGGTGCAGGACAATGCCTTTGGTGCGGAGAGGGTGTCACCTAGAGCACTATCTAGCCCCGCATCCCCCTCCAGGGCACGAAGAAATAGCGTTGTCACCGTGACTTCTGGCGATCTCAGCATGAAGCGTTCCAAGAGGCCAAGCAGGGAGAGCCAACTGACCAAGCATAAGTCTACTTCAAGCAGCACTCCAGGTGAGTGTATATGTAGGCCCTATATTATACAGACACACACACTCACACACACACATACACATACACACACACACACACACAAACCCATACGCACATATATATAT